AAAAATATTTCAACATTTTACTGTTTTTGCTGTACTTTGGATCAAATAAATGCAGGCTCGGTGAGCAGAAGAGAATTCTTAAAAAAAAAAAAAACATTAAAAAGCTTACTGTTCAAAAACGTTTTAATGGTAGTGTAGGCTGATTATTCTTATAGGTTGAAACAAATGTGCTTTAGTCAGTATAAAGAGTATGAAAAATGCTCTGAGTTGCTGCACAAAAAAAAAGAGCTACAACAAAAACATGTTGCTGGAGACGGGCTTATTGAAAATGCAAACTGATTGTCTGCCAGCAGGAGGTGCTTTGAGAGCGGTAGAACTAGCGGTTTCTCCAGTAATGGCTGTAATCAAATCAGCTCCGCTCATGAACGCTTCTTTATCAGATAAAATGAAAAAGCCATCGAAACTTTTCTGAAGATACATTCATATAAAACACCCGCAAGTGTTTTGATTTTGAAACATGCAGTGCTTATGTTTATTCAACGAAGTCAAATGCCACAAACAAATCAATGTATGGGAAACACTGGTAATGTATATCGAAATATCGGAAATGTTTTTAAAAATCATATCACTGTTATTGAAAAAAAATTATATCGCGATACATATTGATATTGAATTATTGTCCATCCCTACCTTTGGTGCTGCAGTCATCCACCAGAATGATCTCTTTCAGCAGGTGTGGAGGAGACCTGTTGAGCACACTGTGCACCGAGCGCAGCAGAGTGGACCAAACCTCATCCACAAAACAGAAGATCACACTGGTACTGGGCAGGTCATCATGCACAAGGTTTTCTGAACATCTAAACAACACAGGATATGGAGTTGTTACACATATACTGTATCAGTGGTACATGTTCTTACTATAACATAAAATTTGCCATGACCTGCAGGACTACAACAAAATGAATCTATGGTTCACACTCACATTCGAGGTCTGGTGTCTGGGATGGCTCTGTCTATTGGTATCTGTTCACTCAGGAATACATTAAAAAATCCTTCACTCCAGCGTCTTCGACTCTCCAGTTCTTTATCTCTTGGAACACTTGCAGGCTGTCCAAACTGTCCCACAGCCCTGGGATCTCTGGGCCTGTCTGTCACATCTAGGGCCATAACCTTATGATGCCCTCCTGACCTCCTCACCTGCACACTTGTAGAGTGCAGTACTCGTAATGCCTCCTCTGCTGGGTCCTTCAGTGTATGGTCAAGAATGTTCTTCGGTTTATCACTCTCTGCTGGTTTCAGCAATTCATTACTCAAGTTCTTTTGTAAACCAACATCTACATGTACTTCATTTTGCGACATCGCTAGTGTGTCATTAATGTGATGTACTTTTTTCACACTCTTTTCTTTGAGCACAGAAGGATGCGGTTTCTCCTGGACAGCAGGCAGTGCTTTAGTAAGTAAATGTGCCTTAACATGCAGATTTGCTTCCGTCTGTCCATTAACAGCAGCTTTTATTTTGTTTATGTTTGCAGTTATATTGCTCACTTTGCCATAAATAACAGTTTTTGTCTCATTTATCTTTTCAGGGATGCTAATAATTGTTCCGTTCACATTTGAGTTCACAATTAGATTCACTTTGCTTTGATTTTCTGGTCTCGCCTTTGGCCACGTTCTGTAAACCTGATCAACTTTCCTTTCAAACCGGTTGCTATTTTTAAAAAAATCCCTCTTGTCTATGTTTACTTTTTGCAGTGGATGTTTGAGCACATCCTCTACATTGTCGTTCCTTCTTCCCTGTTTTAGTACAATCTCTCTGTCTTTGAGATCCTGATTCGCTTCATCGATGGATATCCGCAGTGCTGCGATGTCAAAAAGGAGCCAGATTACAGATGCGATAAACACAAAAGCCAAGACCCTCCCACTGCCTCTTAAATACTTCCTAAACCTCATTATTTTAATGCTATAAAGTCTTTCCAAGTCTTTTCAGTTCACGCTCAGTTCAGTACTGAAAGAGGGATTCCACATTCTAAAACTGAGGTGACTACCTGAAATGAAGAAGTCGCAAACAAATTAGAAACAGAGTTATGGTTTCTGTTAAATATGTTGGCCAAGAAGGAACAAACGCAGCGGTTTAGAATGGAATCAGATTTGAACAACATAGTAGAGAACCCACGAAAATTGCACGAAATGAACAGCAGAACTAAAATGAAACCACTCTGTCGCTGTGGTTACAGGAGTTATTAAGCTATCGCGATAATAAAAACGGGATTTGATTGTGAATTACCTGGACTTACAGACGGTGTTAATTCCCCTCGCGACTGCTGTAAATAAACAATTTGAGTGCACACAAACTTGTTAGTGAATGCTGTCAATGCAAAACACGGAGTGTGTGAATGTATCCACAGAAGGGCATTCCGAACTCAAAAACGACTGCGTGGCAACATTTCGACTAAACTAAACTCTGCTGTCCAGGCAAACTTCCGCGGTTTTACACTCAAAGGCATATTAGACCCACAATATTAGAGCGTTCGATTCAAATGACTTTCTGAAACAGTCGCGTTAAAGTTCCTCGTGAGATCGGCGTCGCAAAGTTTGTCATCACACACGTGCTGCTCCGGTCCTCTCGAATGTTTTCTTCATTCTGAAAGATTCACCTCGACAGTTCTCCGGTGATACTTGTTCTGAGCACATACACACAATTGTGTTCATGTCTTCCACTGGGTTTTAGACATCCTACTTTAAATCCGTAGTTCCTGCTGGCGTTTTGTACATCAGACCTGCCCTGTTTTACACGTACCCACACTTATGACGACGTGTCAATATTTAGAGCGATATTTTGGACGCACTAAGAAATGAATTCCCGATCAGGGTGTGGTTAGAGTTAACTTAGACACACTCATGTAAAACGTTAAATAAAAAAAAAAACGGTCAAGATTAATACAATAACAACAACAATAAAATAATAATATGTATTTTATATTATAATATATATAAATATAATATATATTTTAATAATATAGACTTGTTCTTGTCTCTGGCCCTGGACATTCTCTCAACCAACTTCAACTCATCCATTTAAAAATAAATAAAAGGGTAAAGTGTCCAAACTTTAGATTAATCGTGTAAATAATATGCCCAGTGTCATAGATCGTTCAGTTGCATATTTCAAAGTATCACACTATTACTATATGACACATTAACTGTACCAACTGTACCAAACCACTTTTTTTTTTAACAGTATATAAAGTGGAACATTTTAAGATATTTATATCTGCGTAGTCTGTTGAAAGACTGTAAAGTCTCTGAAAGACTGGTATTTAGATTGAGTCTGGTCTAACCTGTTTTGTTGCAATAGGCAATACCTGACTGCCTTGTCTGTTAGTTCCTCTAGAATAGGCAGTACAGGTGTACACACACAACCTGTGAGGAGAAACAAAAAAAGATGCTGAAGTTTAGGTGAAATGTTACTCATTTATTTATTTAATATGGGAGCATAGATAATATAAATAAAAAGTAAATAAACAAATTGTAAACACACAATAAAAACATTTATGGTACGCAATATGATATCAAAGGAAAAATTATTTGTGATATTTTTTCCTGCTTAAAATTGGACACAATAACAATAGCAATAAACATTTTCATATATTTTTTTAATGTATTTATTTATTAAAAGTTTATTGCCTCAAGGGCAACATTGTACCACAATGGACAAATTGAAACATTTGACATTTTCATGCAGAAAAAATAAATATATTTAATTGAAAACATAATTTTCTGTAACCAAAACTAAACCAACCAGATTTATAGTTTTTAATGCATTTCACATCTCATATTTAATAAAAAGTAACATTTCATATCCAGCTATTGCTCTATGGCAGGGGATTTCAAACCTGTCCTGGAGGACCCCCAGCCTTGCACAGTTTGTATATCTCCCTCATCTAACACGCCTGATTCAACTCATCATCTCATTAATAGAGACTGCAAGACCTAAATTTGGTGTGTCTGATAAAGGAGACATACAAAATGTGCATGGCTGGGGGTCCACCAGGACAGGTTGGAAAACCCCCGCAACTTAAGGCATCATTGTACCATTGTGGATCACAAATATAACCAAACCATCATATTAAGTTGTCATATTAAAACATCACAATCAGTGTTGTTTCAATGTATAACATTCAAAATCACCATAACCTTATTCTAATATGCACCTTATCCTTACAAGCATGAAGACACACACAAGGACCTGAATGTGCACAAGCACATGGCACCTCAGCTGCTTGTGAAAGTTGAGGAAGCAATCCTCTCAACATAAAAATCATAATATGTGCAGATATAGTATGTGATTAACTATTCTTATAAATACATTACGAAATCAAGCAAAAATGGAAATATTAAATTCAATTCAATTCAAGTTTATTTGTATAGCACCTTTCATGATACAAATCGTTGCAAAGCAGCTTTACAGAAAATTAAGTTTCTACAATATATTTAGTAGTAGCTTGTCAGTGGTGACGTCAAATTTGATGGCAGAAATGTGTGGTAAAATTCAGTTAATGACATAATCAAACAGACGATTAACAGCAATGATTATATGTTGCAATCAAACTTGCTGTCCTATATTTGTAAAGCACTGCAGTTTTTCTTTGGGTGCGATGAATGAAGCTGAAGTTGCTAGTCATTTCGTCTAGTTCATGTGTATTTATGGATACACAGAACAGTTGAGATAAATCAGGCTGGTTATTTGTGAATCTGTCTTTCGTGTCTGGAACAATAGTTCTGCCCAGACAATAATGCGGAGCCATATAGTTAATATCAGTAATACGCAGCATGCACAATACAAGGAAATGGTCAGTAACATCATCACTTTGAGGTACGATATCTATATCAGTAAGATCAATTCCATGCGATATAATTAAATCTAGTGTATGATTATTTTTGTAACATGGGAAATATGATTTTCAAAAGACAAGTTGCTGTCTAATATAACACCCGGATTTTTGACTAGAGGAAGTAACAGGACATCCGTCTAGTTGCAAATTGTAATCGGAGAGATTCTGTGTACTGCTTTTTGGTCCAATAAATAATATCTCTGTCTTATCCGAATTCAATAGGAGAAAATTATTGGTCATCCAATATTTTACATTTTGAATACACTCTGTTAGCTTAGATAATTTAGAAATTTCATCTGGTCTTGTTAAGATATATAATTGAGTATCATCAGCATAACAACGGAAACTAATTCCATATTTTCTAATAATATTACCAAAGGGTATATGTATGTTAAAATAGCAGAGGACTTAGGACAGATCCTTGTGGCACTCCATACTTTACTGGTGATAATTGAGATGACTCCCCGTTTAAATAAACAAAGTGGTAGCGATCGGACAGGTAGCAGTCTGACGGGGCTCATGCTTATAACAGTAGCTTGGTGGAGTAGACTCATTTAGACCAATATAATCATTTGGTTTGAGCCAGGTTTCAGTCAAGCAGAGTACATCAAAACTATTATCTGTGATCCTTTAATTTACAATAACTGTTTAGATTAGATTACTGATTAGATTAGATTAGATTACTGAAATAGATTAGATAATTCTAGCTCTTTTCCTTACAAATATCATATACTTGTATTCTAACCTAGTATGCCTGCATGGCCTCATTTGATTCCGTTACAGTATAATGCAGTTTTTTGTAATTATTTGGTGATATATTATGTAAAGGTTTTGAAAATACTTCTTTACTTACCAGTGAAGATGACTCAGATTTTTTGTAGCCATGAGTCATGTGACTAGTGAATAGTATTTGAGTTCTCCTCCCCTGAGATAGCATTTATCAATTAAATGGGTGTCTCATTATATATATACA